TCAAGCATGATATCGGTAGAAACTATCGATCGACTTACATTACCTTTATTTGAACTAAAACGAGTTAAATCCTGTGAAAATCGAAACACCAGAGCAATAAGAACAAACCCATCTACGCGGATATTTTGAAGCAGAGGCCCAAGCATGCGCAGTTCCAAACATATACGCAAGACTGACCAACTATGCCGATCACACTTAATAGGTCACTTTTTATTAGCCAAGAAACGTTCCGAGCGCCTGTGGCCAAGATTTATACAGCTGGAACGCAACCCACTGTCACAGAGGGCGTTTATTAGACATAGATCACGTGACAATTTTCAAATGTCGGCTATAGAATTAAGTATTTCCAATAGGCCAGCAAAACTGTTATTTTGAACACCGCAGTCTTTGAAAATTTGAAATTTTTTGCCATATATAATGAAATCTAGTTCTTATGTGCTAAATAGTGCGCTTGATTCGTGACAGCAGTATTTTTAGAAAAAAATGGGTCATCAGAGCGAGTTTTTATTATTCTTAGTACTATATCTTCGCTTGTAGACGGTGTAGCACGATTAAAGTAAGATATCGTTAGAAAGCTGAATATGTCGACTTTAAGCTCAGTTATTTTCTTAAAAAAAATGCGACACTTCCGAATTACGAGAGTAAAATTGTAGAATGTATATCTTCATTTACTTGTACTCTAGATTTCGATTTTTTTACTAATGATCCATGATTTCACGCGAAAGTGTACTTTTACTTTTACTTGATAAATATCATTAAGTTCATATATCTCTTTTTTACTGATTTGACTATGATGTGTTGGCCTGTGTTGTACTTGTTTTGTCAATTGTTTTCAGTTATTTGTTTTGTGTTCTTTTACTTGCACATTTCCCTACACAACGTGTGTAAACAGATCCGCCATACATTGTTTCCACTTTACAGAACACGCCAATTCCTCAATCGTAGAATGCGTTTATATGTTTCTGCCATGACATGTACGTTAACACAATAATGCGGTCAGAAAATTGATCATAAAGCCAAACTTTTTAGAATTCATGATATCAAAAACTGAAATCACAAACCATAAATACAATGTGAATCAATGTTATGATATAGCATGTGTATATAAATGGGGCTTTGTGATAAAGAATCCCATTTTTTAATACACTTTCAATGTATCCGTATGACAGAAGACATTGTTATTTCATTATACTTTCAAATCCTTTTTATTAAAATGACTGTTTTGGTAACGTATATAACTATATATTAGCCGGACGTTAGAAATATAATTTCTGTCTCAAGCTCGACACTCCAGAAACAAGCGCCGAGTAGTCAGAGCTAACGCAAATATTTTTTGAAGTTTACAACATACTCAACAAGAATTCGAGATTAAGAAATTCCAACTCAAGAAAATAAACGTGTACCATGCACACATCACCGTGTATAACCCATTGATGAGGATGAATAAAATAAACTGAAACCCTCAACTTGACCTGAAAACACCACAATGCGATTAGTAAGCAGTACTGGTCTCTTTGATAAAAGCTTCGGATTAAGGTAGAGATGCAGTTTATTTGTGAATTCAATCAAAAATAGTTTTTTTTCGTTTTTATATAGATTTTTATCTAAAGAACATTCTGTGAAAATTTGACCAATGAATTCTTATTGGAACACCATTAAAATTGCTGTTTATTTTCTGGTTAAAAATAAAAAACACTCACACGTGGCAATGTTATGTCCAATTGCCTAATTTGCATGAGTAAGCAAATAACAGGACCTTTGATTGACAATATGCATATCGAGATTGTACGGGTCATAGTTCATTCAATTTACGCGCATGTGCAATTATTCTCGAATCAGTTATCGCTCGCTAGCAAACCAAACATTATATTTCCTCAGCGTTTTTTCCTAATTTTTATCATTACATTATGCGTAGTGTGAAAAGAAAGAGAGGTAGAAAGAAGATTCAGATGATTTCTATGTCGGAAGAGGCAAAAGCTACACTGAAGGCATCAGCCCACCGAACGAAAAACAAAATCGATGTGAGCGTCTAAACGTGACTTTCCCTGAAGGCGTGAATCCGAGTTTCTGATTGACTGAGAGATTTTATTTTTAAATAATTGTTCTCAAAAAATAAACTGAGCATGTGAAGAATAATTTAACATTGTTCACAGTGATAACAACTCATTGTCGAAACCACAGTCCCTCTATCATAGATAGAGGGACTGTGTCGAAACGAAGCTTACCCATTCACGCTAGTCACAATAAACATCATACTCTTGAATAGACGTAAATGACTACGGTAAAACTTAGACTCTATATTAGGCATCAGGAATGATTGAAATGTCCGAAAATGACGCCAAAATACACCTTAAAAGTCCTTTTTTTTCTAAATCCCATCCCGAATTTACGGCAGAATCTGGTCCCTCAAATAAGGGACACGTGAGCTTTGATTCCAACTGGATATATTGCACTGGGTCGGGGAGATACAACTTTCGTGTGTCTTTTGTCCAATGCTAGGTGCTAGGTGGTGCGAGACAGCTTTGTTTGCAACCGGACGAACTCCGTTTAATTCAATGAAGCAAACAACTGACAATGCTAAAATAAATTGCAGAGGTACGCTAAAATTAATTGAAAACAAGCAAATAATTTCAAAGAAAAATAAATCACAGAGAGAGGTAACTTGATACATTAACAACTCTTTTGACGCGCTGACCGCTTCTCCGCGTCTGATGTTTTATTTTCCTTGTCATAATACGTACTGATTGATGATTTTGTTTTGATTTTTGAGTTCTTTAGCCTGCAACTCGGCCACGACCTTTGCTTTTTCCGTGAAAAATGGGGAAGTTTACGTCAATTTGTTTTGTACTAGTACGTACATCCGTGCGCTGATTGTCTGCGACTGTCTTAGAAAATCCCTGAATAAGGCGTTACTAAAATCGGAAAAAATAAAAAAATTGCCTCCTTAAAAAACGAACAGAATTCAAATATTTCTTTTAACAAATACTGTAAAGGCTTATTTCGCTGACTGGAAAAATGCGCTAAATTAAAACCCAGTGAATATGTAAAATTTAGCATAAAACACATTATCTAAATAACGAAACCGTAAATTTAAAACCCACTGAATATGCCAGAAATGGTAAATCAGTGAAATTTAAACCCAGTGAAAATTAGTCATTTTACAGTATGTTGCAGTGGGAAAATGGGATTGGAAACGCTGAACAAAACTTCTGTGCCTCGCGTTTCGATTATAGGATTACGCGATTATTCATTATTGTGCGTTCGTTTCCTGGAGTTGGTTCTAAATACTACATAAAAATCAAGGATAATTAATTTAATATCCCACTTTGTACTCTTCACGGTAAACCATAGGCTCTGAAATACTCGTAGATTTTTTATTGAAAATACATCGAAGAGAAGCCATGATGTTTTGATCGTGATAAAAAGTCACCTTCCTAGGACCACCCCCTGTTTAATTATTCATGAGATGACGTCATGTTTACTGGGCATTGACACGTGTTTTTACCGACCCCATCAAAACACTGGTATGAATGACGCGTTTCTGATTTATATATTCAAGAGCAGTTGTTCTGGTCCAACAATTTTACATAAAATGTCTATGTCTATACGTTAACTTTCAATTTCATAGTCTAGAAAGTATGACAAAGTATGACAAAGCAGTAATTCCCGGTTTACACGCAAATATG